TCAGGGGCACAGGTGGTGCATCAGCCAGTCGTCTCGGTCATCTCGGTCAGTCGACCCGTGGCACCTGCTGGGTCTGCCCCGTGACCTCCTCCTCATGCACCTAGCCTGGCACAGCAGTACAACCCATGGCACCTGCTCGGTCTGCCCCGTCACCTCCTCCTCATGCACCTAGCCTGGCACAGCAGTACAACCCGTGGCACCTGCTGGGTCTGTCACGTGACCTCCTGCCAGCGGGCGTTCGACACTTCACGTGGCGGCCTCAAGGTGCACTTGGCCTGGCACAAGCGCCGTGGTGACGTCACCGCCACTTAGTGGCGAATGGCGGTTGTTGTTGTTGTTGTCACTGTGTGTGTCTATGTGTGTGTCTGTGTGTGTCACTGTCTATGTGTCTGTGCGTGTCACTGTCTATGTGTCTGTGTCTGTGTGTCTTATGTGTGTGTCACTGTGTGTCTGTGCGTGTGTCACTGTGTGTCTGTGCGTGTGTCACTGTGTGTGTGTGTGTCACTGTGTGTGTGTCACTGTGCGTGTCACTGTGTGTGTCTATGTGTGTGTCTGTGCGTGTCACTGTGTGTGTCCCTGTGTGTCTATGTATGTCTGTGTGTGTCACTGCGTGTCACTGTGTGTGTGTCTATGTGTGTGTGTGTTGTTGTGTGTGTCACTGTGTGTGTGTCACTGCGTGTCACTGTGTGTCTATGTGTCTGTGTTGTTGTACCTACGAACCAGAGTTCAATTCCGGTCCACGGCCACCAACACGACCAGCTGTGACGATACATTTGAACTGGTCATGAGCCTCGCCTAGGTCGACTCAGCCTCAAACGAGTACCTGGTTCTGTGGTGTGTGCAGTAAACATCGCGGACACAAATCGCTCTTCAATTCCATCACAAAAAGCAACTTGCAGCGCCACAACCCTCATCACCATCCTTCAGTGGGGCCTACCTAGGCCTGTGTAGGCCCAAGCCCCCAGGCTTACCTAGGCCTGCCTGGGGCCTACCTAGGCCTGTGTAGGCCCAAGCCCCCAGGCTTACCTAGGCCTGCCTGGGGCCTACCTAGGCCTGTGTAGGTCCAAGCCCCCAGGCTTACCTGGGCCTGCCTGCGGCCTACCTAGGGCCTGTGTAGGGCCAAGCCCCCAGGTCTGCCCCAGGCCTGGACTTGGGCCTACCTGGGCCTGTGTAGGCCCAAGCCCCCAGGCTTACCTAGGCCTGCCTGGGGCCTACCTAGGGCCTGTGTAGGGCCAAGCCCCCAGGTCTGCCCCAGGCCTGGACTTGGGCCTACCTGGGCCTGTGTAGGCCCAAGCCCCCAGGCTTACCTAGGCCTGCCTGGGGCCTACCTAGGGCCTGTGTAGGGCCAAGCCCCCAGGTCTGCCCCAGGCCTGGACTTGGGCCTACCTGGGCCACTCCACTGCGTTAAAATTCACCCTCTCCTCCTCCACCTCCTCACCACCTCCTCCTCACCACCTCCTCACCACCTCCTCACCACCTCACCACCACCTCCCGCTCCCACGAGACTGAGGAGAGGAGCCAGGAGACGTCTGCGTAGCTCCCTCGCCACCAGCGAGCGCTCCAGCGCCGCTCCGCCTCCTCCGCGGAGCACCGAGCGGTTCTCTTGGGCGCGGCGCGACAGGTAAGGGAGCACCTCACGCACCGGGCCGTAGGGCACGTACTTGTACACGGGGTAGCCAGCCTCACCTGTACACACACAGGTAGACACACACAGGTAGACAGGTAGACACACACACAGGTACACACACACACAGGTACACACACACACAGTGTACACACACACACAGTGTACACACACACACAGTGTACACACACACAGGTACACACACACACAGGTACACACACACACACAGGTACACACACACACACACAGGTAGGGGAGCACCTCACGCACCGGGCCGTAGGGCACGTACTTGTACACGGGGTAGCCAGCCTCACCTGTACACACACACAGGTACACACACACACAGGTACACACACACACAGTGTACACACACACACACAGGTACACACACACACACACAGGTAGGGGAGCACCTCACGCACCGGGCCGTAGGGCACGTACTTGTACACGGGGTAGCCAGCCTCACCTGTACACACACACAGGTACACACACACACAGGTACACACACACACAGTGTACACACACACACACAGTGTACACACACACACACACACAGTGTACACACACACACACAGTGTACACACACACACACAGTGTACACACACACACAGTGTACACACACACACACAGTGTACACACACACAGTGTACACACACACAGGTACACACACACACACAGGTAGGGGAGCACCTCGCGCACCGGGCCGTACGGCACGTACTTGTACACGGGGTAGCCTGCCTCACCTGTACACACACACAGGTACACACACACACAGTGTACACACAGTGTACACACAGGTACACAGGTACACACACACACAGTGTACACACAGTGTACACACAGGTACACAGGTACACACACACACAGTGTACACACAGTGTACACACAGGTACACACACACAGTGTACACACACACACACAGTGTACACACACACACAGGTACACACACACACACACAGACAGGTACACACACACACACACAGGTACACACACACACACAGGTACACACACACACACAGGTACACACACACACACACACAGGTAGACACACACACACACACAGGTAGACACACACACACACACAGGTAGACACACACACACACACACAGGTAGACACACACACACACACAGGTAGACACACACACGTAGACACACACAGGTACACACACACACAGGTACACACACAGGTACACACACACACAGGTACACACACACAGGTACACACAGGTACACACACACACAGGTGTAGAGGTAATACGCGCTGGGATTAGAGATCGTATGCCAGCGCGTAATGATTGGCTGTGGGCCGGTGACGTGCTGAGAGGGAGTGATCGGGTGGCAGCGCGGTGTGATTGGTGGAGGAGTGTTAACACGCGCTGGGGAAAACGGATCGTAGAGAGAGTGCGTCGTGATTGGTTCATTAAGGAGCGATGCTCACGTTGAAGTACGCATCAGCTCCGCCTCTCGTGAGCAGGGGCTATAAAAGGGGATGCACACAGGCGTGAGGGCAGTGTGTAACCAGCGAAGAATGAAGACGGGGATGAAGACCTAGGGCCCTGCGGTACCTAGTCCCGCTGTCCTAACGGGACCGGGACTCTGTGTAACCCAGAGGCGAGTGTAGTGTGTGTAGCCATAGGCGTAAGGTCTACACGAGCCGAATGCAGTGTATTGTGTAGCCAGGGACATAGGGTCTACACGAGTCGAGTGTATTGTGTAGCCAGGGACATAGGGTCTACACGGGTCGAGTGTATTGTGTAGCCAGAGGCGTAGGGTCTACACGAGTGAAGGGTATCGTGTGTAGCCAGAGGCCTAGAGTTTACACGAGAGAAGTGGAGTGTGAAGTCGGAAGAAAGGAGGCTACACGTTGTATTTTGATACGTAAAGATTTAATAAAAGTGTGTTCCCGTCAAGAAGTTCCTGCCGTCAATTCCCATACTTCAACTGGCGTCAGAAGTGAAACGGTCTTCCAAGCATGGATACAAGGAGGAACCGTCGGACCCACGGGATTGACCACGGGGACAACCTCGACGACGCGGGTCAACTGGCATCGGGGGGTGAGGAAGAGGAGTTGCCCACGGGGCAGGATCCGCCGACGGCGCCGGACGAGCCACGGGGGACTGACGCCGTGCTTCCCGAAGCGCACTCCCGTCTGGCGGAGCTGCTGCTCGCCGCCGCGTCCATCTTGGCGGAGATCAGCTCGTCGGGAGGAGCGGGAACGGCGGCCGACGTTCTGCAGGGTCGCCCTGCAGATTCCCGCCAAAACGATTTGGCGATGGCCGCCATTTCATCTGCACCGACTTTTGGCGGGAACGGCCATCACCACGTGGCAGCGGTTCTCCATGCGCGCCCGCTGACGTCACCAACGCGCGCGGCGGACCGCCATCACACACCCGCCGATGGGGCCGCCATCTTACACACCGACGGGGCGGCAGAGAGGAAGCACGAGGAGGAGGACGACTTCATTTTTCAGCAGCGCCTTCCCACGTTGTCAGCCTTCAAGGCGGAAGGCGGGGATTGGAGCCAATTTCAGCGCAGATTTTTGGCGCATCAGGAGATGTCCGCCTGGTCCGACGCTACGGCACTGCGGGCACTGCCTGCCATGCTGGATGACAACGCGCTCGCGGCCTTCACGTCCGCACGCAGGTCGGACCGCTCCACGCTCAAGGATGCGCTGGCTCTCATGGCCAAGGTCTATGGTCCTCCCTCCGCGTGCCGCCATCATTTTTATGCAAGACGGAAGGCGGACACGGAGACCGTGCTCGCCTACCGCACGGCGTTGCTTGCTCTCGCCGACGCCGCGTTCCCTCGTATGGACGAGGAGGGCCAAGATGCCATGGTTTTGGAGCAGCTGCTCAAGTTGGCGCAGGACCTGGGGGTCCCCATCAACACGGCCGATGAGACCGATATTTCATCCTTACGGGTCGCCACAAGCATACAAGCGCACGAGGTCCTTCAACGTAAACAGGGAGTCGTCTGCAACGCTGCCGTGGCCTCAACTCCGGGCCCAGTTGTCACCGTGCCCCAAGTCGTCAGCCCACGAGAGGAGGCGTTCATCGCGGGACGACCGGGGGACTGGAGATCGGGGGGTCGTTCGCCTCTGCGAGCGGCCCGCAAGCTGGAGCAACCGAGATCTCCGACGACTGTCATCACCTGCTATAACTGCGGCCTCCGGGGCCACGTGGCCTCCGGTTGCCGCGCCCCACGTCAGCGCGCCATGGGACCTCGGCTGGACGACGACCAAGGCCCCAAGTCGTCCCTGCAAACCCCGGCAAGTCGCGGCACCTCACATGCTCGGCCCGCATACTCGGCACATATGGGTCGTCGCGTTGCGGCGGGGGAGAGCCGAGTAGAGTTCGGGGATTCGGTTCAGAGAGGGCGATTCGGCCGGGACCGGGGAGACATTAAATGGTCGGAGTTGGGGCACAGAATAGTGGCTGCCTCAGCGGGTTCATCCGTAGTTACCGGATCTATTGATGGGGTCGAGGTCAGGGTGTTAGTGGACACGGGGGCATCGGCGACTATTATATCGGATCTCATTTATAATATTCTCCCTGTACAATGTCGTCCGCTTCTTCCGGTGGATGTGCCATTTTACGCCGCTAACGGGGGATCGTTGGGCATTATCGGTCAGATTAGGGCATCCATTTGCATTGGTGATATCAAATTGTCGGGACCCGTTTTTGTTTCGTCCTCCCTGGCGGTCCCTTGTCTATTGGGCACTGATTTTTTGGCAAAAATGCCCATCAAAATTCTCATTGATCAGCGTTGCATTGAACTACCATCGGGTCGCCGTATTTCATTTTTGACGAGCCCTAATGAAATTCGGACGGCGTGCGCTACCATACAGGCGTTAGCGACACAGACCGTGCACGTGCCCCCGGGTTCACAAATGTTAATTCCCCTCCGGTTGCGGAAGCCATGGGTGAAGGAGGCCTCGGAACAGGGCATGCTTTTGGGTCCTTCTAATAGGGCTGTTGGAGGTCTCGATTTGTCGGTGGCTCACACTTTGGTGGGGGCTGACAGGGATCCGTTTGTGATGGTTTTAAACGCTGGGGCGCGGCCGGCCGTCATTCAGCAGGGCACCGTGCTAGCTCACGCGGCGCGGGTCCCTGCGGAGGAGAGGCTGGTTGCGCAGGCGGATCCGAGTCCCACGAAAAACGTTACATTGAAGGAGGACCTCGATTGGGTTGATTCGCTGTGCGCGGACTCTGACGATTTATCAGCGGTACAGTTGGGTGCGCTGCGCGGGTTGCTCATTGAATTTTCGGATGTCTTCAGTAAACATAAGTATGACATTGGGTGCACGGACCTGCTACGCCACCACATTGAAACGGGCGATGCGGCACCGGTCAGGCAAAATCCCTTCCGACTGAGTCCTGCTGAGAAGGAACATGTTCAGTCGGCAGTTAACGATATGCTAGAAGCCGACATTATTTCGCCTTCCTCCAGTCCTTGGGGAGCGCCTATTGTGCTCGTTAAAAAGCAGGACGGGTCCCTGCGATTTTGCGTCGATTTCCGTCGCCTGAATAAGATCTCTGTGGCCGACGCGTATCCGCTCCCCAGGATGGACGAGTCTCTCGACGCATTGTCTGGTGCGCGATACTTTTCGACTCTTGATTTATTATCCGGATTCTGGCAGTTGCCACTCGACGAAGAGTCTAAGCCTAAGACCGCATTTCGGACTCCAGGGGGCCTGTTTCAGTTTAACCGGTTACCCATGGGACTTCACTCCTCTCCGGCGACGTTTCAGCGTCTTATGGAATTGGTTTTGTCGGGCTTGCAGTGGGATACGTGCCTCATTTACCTTGACGATGTCATTGTTTTCGGTAAAACGTTTGAAGAACACCTCCAGCGATTGAGGGGGGTGTTCTTGCGAATGCGATCGGCTAAATTAAAGTTTAAACCGGCCAAATGCCACCTTTTTCGTAAATCCGTGAGGTACTTGGGTCACATTGTCGACTCTTCGGGGATTTCTACCGATCCTGCGAAGACGGACTGTGTCAGTTTGTGGCCAACGCCCACGTCAGTGTCAGACGTACGCAGTTTCATCGGTTTTGCTTCGTATTATCGCCGATTCGTTGAGCACTTTGCCACCATTGCAAAACCCTTGCACGCTCTAACGGCGAAAGGAGTGAAGTTCCGATGGGGACCGGAGGAGGAGGCTGCATTCTGCTCCCTCCGGGACGCCTTGGTTAGGGCCCCACCCTTGCGCTATCCGGACTTCGCGAGTCCCTTCTTGCTAGACACGGACGCTAGCAACACGGGCATTGGGGGAGTGCTGTCCCAAGTCGTTGGAGGGGTCGAACGAGTGGTCGCCTATGGTAGCAGGGTGTTGTCGCCGGCAGAGCAGCGCTACTGCGTCACCCGTCGCGAACTGCTTGCCATTGTTTTTTTTGTACAACAATTCAGGCCATATCTCTATGGTCGTCATTTCACGGTCCGGACGGACCACGCGGCGCTCCAGTATTCATTGCGGGTCGCCCAGCCCTCGGGCCAATTGTCGCGGTGGTTGGAAGTCCTCCAGGACTATCAGTTCACGACTACGTACCGTAAAGGCTTGCGACACACAAATGCCGATGCCCTGTCGCGGTTGTTGCCTTGTCACAAATGTGCGTGCTTATCGGGATCGGCGCGCTGTAAACCGCCGGTTACGGAAGGTAGGGAGGCGTTGGTTGCGGCCGCGAGCACACCAATTGGGGATGGTCCCGCTACCCCTGGGGGTCAGGACTCGCTGCTCTCAATGTCATTGATTGAGTGGGGCCGTCTCCAAATGGCGGACAGCTCCCTGCTGGCATTGCGCCGCAAGACGGGGGGTTCCGAAGGTAACCACGACCGAACTGGCTCCTACGAGCTTAAGCAAGGCCTATTGATGAGATGGGACAGTTTGTCCCGGCGGCATGCGATTGTGGTGCCTGCTGCTGTGAGGGGGAAGGTTGTCTTGGCCGCACACGAACGCCTCTTGCATTTGGGAGTTAACAAAACGCTTGCCCTGCTTCAGCGTGACTATTATTGGCCGGGAATGGGGGGTGACGTGGTGAACATTCTGAAGGGTTGTGTTGAGTGCGCCAGACGGAAACCACCGCCTGTGCCAGCTAATCCACCGCTGCAATCCATCCAGGTCTCGCGCACTAACGAGCTCGTTGCACTCGACATTCTGGGGCCTTTTCCGGTCACGCCTAGGGGTAATAAGTACCTGTTGGTGGGGGTCGAATATTTTACCCGGTGGCCTATGGCGTGGCCACTCGCCAACCAGTCGGCGGCGGCTGTGACGGACGCCTTTGTCCAGGGCTACGTCCTGGACAAGGGGGCTCCCGAACGCTTGCTGACTGACCAAGGGAAGAATTTTTCGAGTAAATTACTGCAAGAGGTGTGCGACCTGTTGGGTACCAAGAAGGTGCGTACCTCCCCGTACCACCCGCAGACGGACGGGATGGTGGAGAGGCTTAACAGGACATTGACTTCTATGTTGTGCCAGCAGGTGTGTGAGGCGCATGTTGATTGGGACCTGCAGGTCCCTGGGGTCCTCGCCGCGTATAGAATGGCCCCCCATGCAGCTACGGGATTTTCCCCGTTTTATCTGATGTACGGTCGGGAAGCCGACCCGCCCATGGAAACGCAGCTGGGTCTGTCCGCACCACGAGCAAATTCGAAATTGGCAGAGCATATTAAATTTAATATTCATAAGCTGACAGAGGCAAGGGAGGCCGCACGGCTTAATTCACGGGCTCGCCAAATTGCAAACGAGCGGTTGCGGGCACGGAAGGTGTCCGTGCACAATTGGGAACCAGGTGACAGGGCCTGGCTGCATTGCCCGCAGGCACCTTTGGCTACGTCGCCTAAATTGTTGAAGCCGTGGCGGGGACCCGTGGAGGTCGTGCGGGTTGCACGCCCCCAGTGCGTTCAGATAAAATGGGGAAAACGCCGTTGGTACGTCCACCCCTCCCGACTGAAACCGTTCTCGCCTCCGTATGGCCTCCCCTTGTGTCATGAGGGCCGAGCATGTGACGTGACCAGCGACCCTGAGGGGGAATTGTCTTTGCCTGCTCCTCACATGTCTCCGCCTGATCCGCTCCCAGGTGTCTCGGAACTGACAGCTGCCGACCACCGGCGGCCGGATCTTGAGCAGCCGGAGCCACCGGACGGTCGCCAACGTCCCGTCCCATACGACGGACCGGCCAGACGGACTCGCGCTAGGTCGCGCTACTTTGTGTGACCTGCCACGTGAGGAGTCGAGGCAGCCGGAGCGCCTCGGCACTGCGTTTAGTCACAGAGACACTTGGCGCGTTCGGTTTCCGGTGTTCGCTTTTATTGTGTTCGTTTTCCGGTGTTCGCTTTTATTGTGTTGTTCGTCGGGCTGTATATTGCTTCATATTTAAGTGTTGTGTTGTGTTGTTGTTGTTGCGTTACGGGGCACACTGAGAGGTGGAGTTTCTTTGTTACTGCATTGACGTTAGGTTGTGTTGTTGGTTAACAGCCGGGCCGGCTGCAAGCTATGTGGGAGGGGGTGATGTAGAGGTGATACGCGCTGGGATTAGAGATCGTATGCCAGCGCGTAATGATTGGCTGTGTAGGTGGTGACGTGCGCTGACGGTGGAGGATCAGGGGTCAGCGCGGGGTCGTGGGTTACGGGGTACTGATTGGCTGTGGACGGGTGACGTGCTGAGAGGGAGTGATCGGGTGGCAGCGCGGTGTGATTGGTGGAGGAGTGTTAACACGCGCTGGGGAAAACGGATCGTAGAGAGAGTGCGTCGTGATTGGTTCATTAAGGAGCGATGCTCACGTTGAAGTACGCATCAGCTCCGCCTCTCGTGAGCAGGGGCTATAAAAGGGGATGCACACAGGCGTGAGGGCAGTGTGTAACCAGCGAAGAATGAAGACGGGGATGAAGACCTAGGGCCCTGCGGTACCTAGTCCCGCTGTCCTAACGGGACCGGGACTCTGTGTAACCCAGAGGCGAGTGTAGTGTGTGTAGCCATAGGCGTAAGGTCTACACGAGCCGAATGCAGTGTATTGTGTAGCCAGGGACATAGGGTCTACACGAGTCGAGTGTATTGTGTAGCCAGGGACATAGGGTCTACACGAGTCGAGTGTATTGTGTAGCCAGGGACATAGGGTCTACACGAGTCGAGTGTATTGTGTAGCCAGGGACATAGGGTCTACACGAGTCGAGTGTATTGTGTAGCCAGAGGCGTAGGGTCTACACGAGTGAAGGGTATCGTGTGTAGCCAGAGGCCTAGAGTTTACACGAGAGTAGTGGAGTGTGAAGTCGGAAGAAAGGAGACTACACGTTGTATTTTGATACGTAAAGATTTAATAAAAGTGTGTTCCCGTCAAGAAGTTCCTGCCGTCAATTCCCATACTTCACAGGTACACACACACACACAAGTAGACACACACACAGGTACACACACACAGGTACACACACACACACAAGTAGACACACACAGGTACACACACACACACACAGGTACACACACACACACAGGTACACACACACACACACAGGTACACACACACACACAGTGTACACACACACACAGGTACACACACACACACAGGTACACACACACACACAGGTACACACACACACAGTGTACACACACACACACAGGTACACACACACACACAGGTACACACACACATAACGTGTACACGGGGTAGCCGTGTGTGCACGTGTGTACGTGTGTGTGTGTCTGTGTGTGTGTGGGGAGTGGTGGTGTAGTGGTTAGCGCTACGCTGCGCTATGAACCTGGCGACCCGAGTTCGACTCCCGCTCACGGCCAACACCAGTGACGATTATCTGAACCGGTCCCGGGCCTCCCCTAGGTCGACTCAGCCTCAAATGAGTACCTGGTGCGGTGTGTAAACATCGCTAGCACTGGGGAAACAAAGGCGGCCGGGCGTGGTGCTGGCCACCCACCCCCTCGTGTGCCGTGCCGGCCTTCATAGGTGCTCGCTAACAGCACTTGCCCCGACAGTCTGTTCAGGCTACACGGGGGATCTTTGTCTTTGTGTCAGTGTGTGTGTGTGTGTATGTGTACGTGTGTGTGTACGTGTGCATGTCTGTGTGTGTACGTGTGCATGTGTGTGTGTATGTGTGTAGTGAGTGTGTGTACGAGTGTGTGTACGTGTGTGTGTGTATGTATATGTGTGTACGTGTGTGTGTGTATGTGTGTAGTGAGTGTGTGTACGAGTGTGTGTACGAGTGTGTGTGTGTACGTCAGTGTGTATATATATATATATATGTGTGTAGTGAATGTGTGTGTATGTACGTGCGTGTGTGTGTGTAGTGAATGTGTGTGTACTGAGTGTGTGTACTGAGTGTGTGTAGTGAGTGTGTGTGTACCGAGTGTGTGTGTACTGAGTGTGTGTAGTGAGTGTGTGTGTATGTGTGTGTAGTGAGTGAATGTGTGTACGTGTGTGTCTATGTGTGTGTGTGTGTACGTGTGTGTGTATATATGTATATGTGTGTGTGTAGTGAGTGAATGTGTGTAGTGTGAGTGTGTGTGTGTGTACTAAGTGTGTGTAGTGACTGTGTGTGAGTGTGTGTACTTGTGTGTGTGTATGTATATATGTGTGTGTGTACTGAGTGTGTGTAGTGAGTGTGTGTACTGAGTGTGAGTGTGTACTGAGTGTGAGTGTGTAGTGAGTGAGTGTGTAGTGAGTGTGTGTACGTGTGTGTGTACTGAGTGTGTCTACGTGTGTGTGTGTGTACTGAGTGTGTGTGTGTGTGTTGAATGTATGTATGTACGTGTATGTCTACGTGTGAGTGAGTGTGTGTAGTGAATGTGTGAGTGTGTGTGTGTGTACCCAGGGCGAAGCTGATGTGGTCACACATCCCCAGCAGCTGCCCAAAGTAAACGCGTCCTGCTGACGGAGACACCTGCAACTCCAGCATCCTGGGGGGCACGGGGGGGGGGGGCACGGGGGGGGTGGGGGGGGGGGGCACGGGGGGGGCACGTAGTGCTAGTGTTGTTACCTGTTGAGCGTGTGCCTGACGGTGCCCTCGTTGTGAGAGTGGTGGTGGTAGTGTTAGTAGTTAGTAGTAGTGATAGTAGTTGTTGTAGTTGTAGTTGTTGTTGCTACCTGTTGAGCGTGTGCCTGACGGTGTTCTCGTTGTGAGAGTGGTGGTGGTAGTAGTGGTAGTTAGTGTTGTTGTAGTTGTTGTTGTAGTTGTTGTTGTAGTTGTTGTAGTTGTTGTAGTAGTTGTAGTTGTTGTTGCTACCTGTTGAGCGTGTGCCTGACGGTGCCCTCGTTGTGCGAGGCCACCATGATGGCAGCCCTCCCTCCGGCAGCGACGTCACGCAGCACCAAGTCCAGACACCTGGGGGGGTCACAGGGGGTCACGGGGGGTCACGGGGGGGGTCACGGGGGAAGGGGGTCACAGTGAGGGGGGGGGGGGCACGGGGGGAGGTCATAGAGACCAAGGTCACAGAGAAGCACAGACTCACACAGAGACCCACAGTGAGTGGGCGGGTGGGGGGTGGGTGAGTGAGTGAGTGGCTGAGTGAGTGAGTGGGTGAGTGAGTGAGTGGCTGAGTGAGTGAGTGGGTGAGTGAGTGGGTGAGTGGGTGAGTGAGTGGGTGGGTGAGTGGGTGAGTGAGTGGGTGAGTGAGTGGGTGGGTGAGTGGGTGGGTGGGTGAGTGGGTGAGTGAGTGGGTGAGTGAGTGGGTGAGTGAGTGGGTGAGTGAGTGGCTGAGTGAGTGAGTGGGTGAGTGAGTGAGTGAGTGTTGTGAGTGGGCGGGTGGGGGGTGGCGTGAGTGAGTGAGTGGCTGAGTGAGTGAGTGGGTGAGTGAGTGAGTGGCTGAGTGAGTGAGTTGTTGAGTGAGTGGGTGAGTGGGTAGGTGAGTTGGGTGGGTGAGTGGGTGAGTGAGTGGGTGGGTGAGTGGGTGAGTGAGTGGGTGAGTGAGTGGGTGGGTGAGGGTGTGGTGGGTGAGGTGGGTGAGTGAGTGGGGTGAGTGAGTGGGTGAGTGAGTGGGTGAGTGAGGTGAGAGTGGGTGGAGTGAGTGAGTGAGGGTGTGAGTGGGAGGGTGGGGGGGGGGTGGGTGAGTGGAGTGGGTGGACTGAGTTCATGAAGTGAGGTCGTGAGTGAGTGGGTGAGTGACTTGAGTGAGTGTTGTGTGAGTGGGCGGGTGGGGGGTGGGTGAGTGAGTGGGTGACTGAGTGAATGAGTGAGTGAGTGAGTGGGTGAGTGACTGAGTGAGT